AGGAGGTGGGATGTACCTCCCATGGAGATTGTTTGAGGATAGAGTAAGGACTGGACCTTTTGGTTTAGTCCGGTAAGTGTTTGAATTTCAACTCTGGGCTTTTTATGCAAGGATTTTGCTTGATTTCATCTTTGTAACGGAAGAAAAATCTCAAATCAAAATCCAGCATGATCAAGTGTGGAAGGGAATAGGGGTGTCAATTTCGGGTCATGGGTCGAACCCAGACCCAACCCAGGTTCAAACGGGTCAAACTCTAACCCGACCCGGGTATATAAACGAGTTGGAAATGCGGACCCGGACCCGACCCGTCGGGTTGCCGGATTGACCTGACCTGACATGGAATGCACGGGCAGGTGCGAGCGGGTGAGTGCGGGTGCGCGCGGGCAAGTGTGCAGACGCGCACGGGCGTGTGCGCGGGCAGCCTCGGGTGCGAGCGACCTCGGCAGGCGGGGGCGGCGGGCTAGCAGACGCGGTTGTGCGGGCGCATGCACGGGCAGCCGAGCAGGTTCACAAGCAGCTGATTTAAACGGGTTAGCTAGTTGACCCGACAACCCGACGGATCAACCCAAACCCGACTTATTTTTCAAACGGGTCGAATTCTAGAACCTGAATCCGACCCATTTTAAAATCGGGTCAGGTCAAATCCCAAATTTCTGGGTCAGATTTGAATTGGGTTTTCGTGTCGTGCCAAATATTGATACCCCTGGAAAGGAATTTAGTATTTCAGTACAATACAGTTCTAATTACAAGTCTGCAACACCTCCCACTTAACACCTTCAATTTATTTGGCAGATTCCCTTCACACCCACACTCTCCAGCTCAAATCCTGATAATCGAAGGCACGATTAATGAAGAGAGAGTGAATCCAAGGCTTCTGCAGTTCATCCATGAATCGCCGCCGCGAATTCAAGGTGAATGGCAGCTGGGATTCATCCCAGAACCTGAATCTTCAGGGTTGACCGATGCTGAGTTCAATTCCGCCATGAAAAAGCTAAGGAAGCAAACTTATGATCCTCCTCAACTCAAAAGAAAGGCCTGGAGGAGAGGATTGTTCAGTAGTAGCAACTATGTACAGGGAAGTAATGATGAGAAGAATGAAGATAAGAAGTGTACGATCTGCTTGGAACCATTTGTACCTAAAGAACAAGTTTTGGTGACTCCATGTAATCATATATTTCATGATAGGTGTCTTACCCCATGGGTGAAGAGCCATGGCCAGTGTCCAGTCTGCAGGTTTAAGCTTTGCGAGAGGAAAGAGATAATTCAGACTCCAAATTACAACTATAACAGTAACAGTAGTGGAAATATATATGAAGATGATTTGGCTCTTGATCTTATAACTCTTGTAAGAGCAATGGAGGAGGCTCTTATGTGGATGCGTCTCAGTTAATAGTTGGCTAAGTTGAATTAATTAGTAGCGAATAAGACGCGGTCAATGATGCTAGTAGATCTTCATGTGAAGCTGTTTAAATATGTTTTTAGTTCTGTCAGAAACTATAATTGGCTTGCTTATGTGAAAGATTGCAAGGCAAGAAGACTATGATTGAATGATGATGTTTGAAGTAGACTATGATGAAAATTTCAATGTTCCAGTATTTGGTACCCCACAAGTATGAATATGAAATATATTTTTCTTTTGCATCAGAAGCTCTTGTACTAACTACCCAGTAGAAAAGCTTTTTTAAATCTTAGGGTATAATAGAAGTTGTATATCTGCATATGTGGTGTGGAACCGCAAATCATCCTGCAGAAAACAAGAGAAGAACAGAAGAAAAGAGAGAAGCAGGGGAGAAATTGAGAAACCTTTGCAAGGTATTAGTATATTCTTCAGTGTCCTTCTCCTACCCTTTTCATGCTATATATATGCAAACGTATAAAAAGCTGCAGAAGTGGTCCTAAAAACGAAAAAGAGCAATGCTAGTGGAGCCGATATATGGCACTTATAGTAAAAAGAAAATGCAAGTAATAACGAAAAGAGTAGTGGCAGCTTAGCCAGGTTGTGTTGCTCCGTCGGGTTAGGATAACCCACATCAATATGCTTTCCAGATATCTAGCAGGTGGTATGCGGGTCATAACAGACCACATTGGAGCACACCTAAGAGTCATCGAATCAAACTCACAAGACGTGTAAAGGATGTCGTCCCTCACAAGGACTATCAAAGGTCCTAATAGATTACATGACTCGCCGCTCACAGCATAAAGGAAGATCTGCCATCAGAAGTTACTTGCCAACATCCACGGCGAGATGCCATCATTCGTGCTCTTCACCACAGTTACAACAAAGAGCAAGCTTGAGAGGTTCCCAGCTCACCCTATCGCAATCATCTAACCACAAAGCTCATTTTTCCTACAACCCAAGACCTCCTCCCTAGGTTATCCTAAGCTTACACGCCCAAGGAGCCAAAGGAGACTAACCAATCTAATGTTCCATTGCTAACCAACCCTTCCAAGGGTAGAATACAATCACCCAAGGTTTCAATTTTGCTGCAATAGCATTTTCTTATTCATCAGTTCAATAGGAAGGCATCACTAAGTGTACTCTTTGACCCTCTTTTAATTCTAGTGAAAGAAACTTGACCAAAATTGCCAGCTTTAACAACCCATTCTCCATAAAGAAACGTTTAATGTGAATGTTTCAGAGCGTCACATTAAACTCCACTTCAATATGATTCCTCACGTAGAGCCAAAAACAATGTGCACCCACATGGACAACACAGGGAATACGAGGAGTTTTTCTTTCCAATCTGCTTGAATTACTTTCCTATTCTAGCAGTCAAGACAGTCTACAAGAGTATTAAGCAATCAAACTGTCTTAGAGCTCACCTAGTCCGCATTTTCCCAGACCATAACAATAACTTCTTGACAATCTCACAACTCTACCACTCTAGTGTTAAAAAGTTTTACGTTATCATTTAAAAAAAAAAAATCTTTAGTTTAGCAAAACTCAGGATAATTACCATCTACTCAACTATATGTCAGAGACAATATTTCTAAAGAAAAATAGAATAGCTTAGAATTATCATTCATTTTTCTTGATGATACTTCAAACTTTACTTATAATAAAGCTTTCGGATAATTGATAAATGGTACAACAGAGCCAAGTTCAAATGGAATAGTTCGAATAGCCACTATAACACTCCAGCGAGCCTTTGTGCTGGCGAATTATTACATCTGGTCACCGGACATCCAATCCAGACACGCCACGTCACCCAAATACATCGGGGCTCGGTATATTTTGGTGACGTGGCGCGTCTGAATTGGTGTCCGGACGAATCCAGACATTGGACATAATATTTGCCCTTTATGCTAAAGCAATTTACAAATCCCAAAACAGCAGGAAAATTGCCAGGATTTAGAGGCAAACAATATGAACTCGATCGCTTATTTAGATTACAATGTCATGAAAATTGTAAACTTGATCGTAGCCCTTTCTGTTAACAGCAAATAAATAAATAAATATATTAATGAAATACCAAATGTCAGTGTCTTGGAGATACTAGACAAAATTGAAGAGGAAAAAAAAGCATACCCAGCTTTTCCACCATATGTTGGGCTGTAGTTGTAAATAAGATTGTCCCGAACTTTTTGTGCTGGAGGCCTAATAAAAGATTTTCGAGCCTCGCTGCTCCACGTTAAAAAAACAGTTTAGGTCGATGATTACCTAAGGAGCTGTTTCAGATCATTTTTATTTTTTTGTTTATGTTTTAATAAAAAATAAAATATGCATATATCTTTTAGAGTATGTTGTTTTTGTTTATATTGAATATTGAATAATTTAAAATAAAAAAAAAAATCCAAAATAGTTCCCAGACTATTCATACATGACTAGTTTAATCTCAAGGTATCATATTGCCTCAATATAGTCACTTGACTATTCAAAATTGATCCAAAATAGTGCAATTGTAATATAAAATTGATCCTAGTTTAGCCCAAAGACTTTACAAAATTGATTCCAATTTTTTTGGATCAATTTTGTATAGTCAAGGGATGAAATTGAAGCAACATTATAATCTGGGACTAAAATGATCATATACGAATAATTGGAGGACTATTTTGAAATTTAAGTTATAAGGAGTCAGGATAGCAGCGCCAGCCAATGATTCAATGATTACGGTGGTGATCAAAAACAGTAATGACGGTAGCCGGTTATGATAATTTGTTCCAAAAATACTCAAAATACTTCAAAGTTACTTTGAATGTTTTTCAAAATAATTTTTTATATTTATAAATATAAAAAAATAGTTTAAAACATAATAAATAAGTATATTTAAATAAATCAATAAATAAATAAATAAACATTACAGTGATCCCAAGCAGCCTCTAAAACTTTTGAAAATGACAATATCAAACCGGATTTGAATGAGATATATTACTATATTAGTATATTCCAAACAAAGGTCATCTATAAAATTGCAATGAAATTAACCTTAAAAAAAAGTCACAGCAATGGGAAAATCAGCAACACTAAATGCTATCTGACGAACTCATTTAAAGGAGTATAATGTGGTGGCACAATCTCAACGACTTAAATTGAAGGGAAGTACATGACATTGAGGCAGCTATTGGCTAGAACGGCTCTACAACATATCTTTTTTTTTTTCACCTTCTTAATCTGATCAGCAAGTAGGATGCAGTTACACAATTCTTGACTATCAGATGCTTCATCAGGTAACAACTAATGATGTAAACCTTTTCTTTAATGTAAAATTCTAGCCATCTTAACCCATCTCTCTCTTTTCCTTTCTAATATACTCACATTATCTTCATCAATCAATCTTATTAGTGCATTTTTTGTCATAAACTATATATCTCAAAATCATCTAATTTATTTATCACACTCTTAGCATCAATAGTTGTTACCTGTACAATTCTAAAATTCTTATTTTTGCTCAACTCAACTCCAGTGTTAGTGAATTTATGCCCAGTAACAAGAAGCATAACAGAAAAAGTTATATTTCTAAATGCTAATCAGCTAATGAATGCTATTAGGCCTTGGATGGTCCTCAAAAGATTCTTAATCAGCTGTCCAAACCATATTTGTACTGCAAAAGTGATCCTAAATTAAAGATTGGGTGACACATGTAATGTTCTTAGTTGGACAAAAAATTAATAGTAAGATTTAGTGTCGGAAGAAAATCTTACGCAATAATGATGCACCAAAACTCAGTTAATGTGGTATACAAGCCTTGGATGTGTACGCATATTATTGTAATTACCGTAAGATTATTTGCCTATGAAAATTTATCATACCTCAAATGCAATCTCAACGATGTTTGGAACAGCACTTATGTAGATTCAAGCTTCGTGGCTTTCTTACTACTTTTTAAAATAACTTTCTAGTACAAAAATTAAAAATTTTGTACTAAAAACTTGCTTTAAATAGTAAGAAATCCGTCTCAAACGAAACCTCAATGGCTCTAGACCATCAGTATTGACTTTTCTTTTACAACATTGATGCATGAATGCTCTGCCAAGTAGACTTCACAAAAATAGAATTCAGAGGCATAACAGCAGCCTAGTCTTCCAAGTGCAATAAATAAGTACCCTTTAGACCTATAAATAAGACTGACTCATAAAGCATTTTCTCAATTTAACTGGGATATAAGTCACAGTTGTCATCTAAAATAAACCTAATGTTCTTTGCGTTTTAATGCCCAGGCCTTAGTAGTTTTCAGTAATAAAAATTTATCTTGAAATAATATAGTTTACATTTTGTAACTTGATGCTTTCTCAAAAGTGCAAAAAAAAAACTTTTTTTACTAAATCACTAGATTAATTATTTCAAAATTAGTTCTCATTGGAAAGGATAGGTTTAATGTTTATATGAAAATCAATAGCCTTTTCATTACATGCTTATCTAATGGAATAAATAAGTTCTCGTCCATAGCATTAGGAAAGATGGTAGTACTAAATCAAGTCTCTCATCTTCAAAATTTTTGCCAAACCAAGTCCTTCATCTTCAAAATTTTTTTCTACTTTTCCCCTTCAAAAGAGGCTCACCTATCATAACTGCATCATCTGCAAATATCATATACCTCGGTACCTCGCTTTCAATTTCTTTATCAAGCTTCTCTATATCAAATACTGAAGTTATGAACATAAAATAAAACTCAGATGTAATTTAGCCCTTTAAAGCCTTTGGCTACTTCATTGCTATTTCTAATTCTAATCACTATTCCATAAAATGATTAATAAGTTACATAATATGCATATTAATATGAATATACGTTTTAGATGTTATGTATATTTAATAACATTTAACGTTAGAAATATATTCTAATGTCAAGAGGGAAAATAAATTAGCAAGCCAAATGGAGTTTGATCCTCACCAAAACACATGCCGCCCCCACTCCCTCAATTCACAAGCAACCGAACAATTATAAAAATGTTATTTGAAGTAGAGGCAAGTTTAAGCCACGAATTTAAATAGCGCTTGAAGTAGTCCAAACTATGCTCTCCATGCAAAGAGATGAAGAGCTCACCACCAAATATAGCCAAATGTTTACCATGATTAAATAACAAGAATGCATCCAATGAAAATAAAAAGTCATGCTGATAGCCGATAGTAGAGTAGGGTCAATATAACATGCCTTGTTTTTTTCAGATTTCAGAATCTTATCAGGAAGGAGAAGAAAAAGCAAAATAGTTCTCTCACAACTTGCAATGCTCTATAATTTGAGAGACGAAAAACAATGACCATATTTAGAATTTTGTTTACTTGTTTCGCTATAATCTTATGTGACGATTGGAAATTTCGGGCTTATTAGGGCAATGGGCAGAAGCAGGACAATTCAATGGAACAAACAAACAATGCTCTTCTTAAGTGAAATATACAATGAAGAACTGAAAAAGAAAAGTGTAACAAAGCCATGCGATATTAGAGAAACTTAAAAACGCCCCATACCTTATGAAGTAGTTTGCCAACAGTTGAGTAACTCGAACTGCATCTTCAGAATGTGGAATAAAGGGTGATCCCCACTCAAAGGCATTTTTCTGCAGTACCAATAATCTTTGCTGTCAACTCAGTTTATACCGTGTGTCATAGTCTTCCACTCTACCCCTTTTTAGTAAAGAAGGATTACCGATAGCAAGAAAAAAAAAATCAAAGTAAACCAATAGGTTATGATCCTCATAAGCCATGAATAATATGTACAATGCAACGCAAGCAACAGGAAGCCCTCTAGTGATTTTCGGATCAAATCAAAAGAACAGTCAATCTGACCATTCACTTCAAAAATGATTATAAGAAGTATCCTCATAATTTGTGTATCAGATGTGAAGGAACTAGGGAATGGGATAAATTAATTCAGGAGCATCAAATTTCTTGATCAAGATTGTTGATTGTGGTGATTATCTGATCACATTATCGAGATCAAAGAATAGGTCATCAAGAATCTAAAGCTACAATAGGATCGTCACTGGACATCATCCAGGGGAGAATAGGAACCTAGACGTTGGACCATCAAATTATAATTCAAATAATAACATGATAAGGATTAGCTTAAAATTTTGAACTAGTTTGCATGAGCTTATTTATAAATTATAATTCAGAATTAGTCTAATTTATGAATGAAATATCTTTTAGTTTATAAACTTATCTAATTTTTTATTTCTATAGAGAATTTTCCATTATATGAGGAGTTTGTGTAAGAGTGGATTAGAAATGTCCCTGCTGTAATTACCTATTTAAAGATTTGTATTCTGCAGCAAATTCAATAAAAAATTTCCCAGTTCTTTCTCCTTCATCCTCTTCTTATATCTTCCATTCTCCCTCAACCCGTGAAGGGGTTAGGCTAGGTTTTCAGTAGCAGGAGCCTAAGGGTGCAAGATCCATCTATGCTGCCTCTACTTTGATTGCTACTGATTGTTTGCTCAAAAAAAAAAATGACGCTTCTGCATGAATACCGCTTTTCAGGCTTAGGATTTCATTCTCCTTAAGGCAGATTGTAGTTTAATTAACCAAATTTTCTATGAAGATTGTATCAGAGTTTATTTAGATATGGGTCCTTACTTTCTATGAGCGCAAACCCTCATAGTTAATTACCCCTCCTACTGCGTAAGAGAAAACTCTCAATTAAGGATGAATTAGCTTCAAAATGTTTTAGTCTTGTTTATTGGTGGATGGAGGAGACCCAATCAAGATCTCATGGTTCCGTTGTCTCAGAAATATTTTAGATTTTAGTCTACCAACAATAATAATCATTGATTGTAATATCCAAGGAATATGATTAGCAGCCATGTGTTACCTCCTCTCAGGAATCCCGAATAAACTAAGGTGGTTAGAAATAGATTTTTGGTTTTATTATGGTTTGGGCTTATATATATGTTCGAATGCCATAAAATTTTAATTTAGTATGGGACTTACGGCTCCCTTTAGGAGTGGCCCGAGATTTGGATTTGGAATGGGGCTTACAACTTCGTTTAGAAGTTGCCCGGTATTTTAATTTAAGTCGGGGCTTACGGATTCCCTTAGAAGTTGCTCATAGGTTTGAATTTGGTCAGGGCTTACAACTTCCCTTGGAAGTTGCATGATATTTTAGTTTAGGTCTAGGCTTACGGCTCCACTTAGGAGTTGCCTGTATGTTTGAATTTGGTCGGGGCTTACAGCTTCCCTTGGAAGTTGCCCAATATTTTAGTTTAGGTTGAGGATTACAGCTCCACTTAGGAGTTACCCATAGGTTTGAATTTGGTCAGGGCTTACAACTTCCCTTGGAAGTTGCCCGATATTTTAGTTTAGGTCAGCGCTTACGGCTCCACTTAAGAGCTTCTCATAGGTTTGATTTAGGTCGGGCTTACAGCTCCATTTAGGAGTTGGCCGTTTGTTTGATTTAGGATAAGACTTACTGCATTCATTGAAAATTGCCTATATGTTTAATTTGGAGTAGGTCTTACAGCTACCATTGGAAGTAGCTTGTTAGTTTTGTTTGGATAAGTCTAATGGCTTTTAAAAGTTGTCTGTTAGTTTTCGTTTAAGGGTTTAACAATTCTCTTAGAAGTTTTCCTAAATACTAGGTCTTACAACTTCTCTAGGAAGTTGCCTACATTTTTAGTTTTTGTTCATGTCCTATAGCTTTCATTGAAAGTTGTGTAGTTTAGATGGGTCTTCCGACTTCCCTTAGAAGTTGTTTGTTAATTTTGTTTGGATAAGGCTTACGACTTCTCTTACAAGTAGCCTGTTAATTTTAATTTAGGGTAGATCGGACAGGAGTTACTTAGTTTGCATTTCTCTACTGCCCCAACACTTGGTGTTTTTACTTCAGCATTACTATTTCTTATTTCAGTACTTTCTCTTTTTAGCACTGCAGCCTTCGCTATAGCACTTTTTTTTTCTTTCTTGCATTGTAGTTTTGTTTACAGTGCTGAGTTGACCTTTGTTTATTTGTTTGCAGGTATTCGAAGCTCACACTGCTTTGGAGTTGCTTGGCAGTTTGTTAGGAGTTTGTTTTATAGTTTGCAGTTCAGAGTTTTGTTTGTAGAGTACGTAGTCATGTTCATAGTTTTGGTAAGTTTTTTTTTTTTTTTTTTGTTTGACGGTTTTAAGAGTTAGCGTTTGTATTAGGATGTTTAGTGTAAACATTTATTTATGTTTCCTTTTATTATCATATTTTTTATTTGATTGCATTAATTCATTAATTAATTAGATATTTTAATTTTATTAATTAGTTAATTGAAGTTTAATTTTGTTATTTTTAAAGTTTTAATTAATATTTTAAATTGATTAATTAATTAATAAAGTCCTTCCCTGCTGCCCCCATTGATTTCCATGGCTGCAGCAACTCTCAACTCAGGAAAACAGCCTCTGTTTTACTGTTTTTACAGGAAATTGGAGTTGGTACAGCAGCTAGTTGTTGTCTCGTAGAGGATATATATATATATATATAGAGAGAGAGAGAGAGAAAGAGAGAGAGAGAGAGAGAGAGAGAGAGAGAGAGAGCACCATTCTTTTATACATGGTACAAACAAAGAAGGAATATAAAAATAATAGAAAGCCACTTCTTGATTTAGAGTTGAATCAAAAGTCAAAAAAGAAAAAACGGCACGAAGAGAGAATGAAAGTCAATCAATGACTAACAATGATTTTATCCCAAAACTGACTGACTAGGTGCCAAATTGAAGGAAAAGATGACCAACATAATGTGTAGTCACTAGTGAGACACTAATGTTGTGACTAGTGAGCCAAATCGTATTCTTCCTATCATGCCAAATCCAAACATGGTTGGAGAGTACAAAGATGAGGATATGATAACTACTCGTGAAAGAAGCAACCATTCAAAGTGGAAAGTCAAAAAGGATATTCCTACAAATGATGGGATGATTGATGTCTAGAAGATGGATGCATAGATCAATCAATTAGAGACAGTTTATCTTGTATGGGTATAACACTCATGAAAGGTTGTTTTTGCCAGCATGAAGCTGACTCATTATGCCTCAAAATGGTGAAATGCCCATCTAAAGATGAATGTGAAACCCCTTTAAATAAAAAGAAACTAAAATATTAAATATCGATGCGTCTTTTGATGTAATTGTTGCAATTTTATTAAGAAACTCCGCAGTTAAACGTGTTCATCTTGGAGAAATCTTGGGATGGATGATCTCCTGGGAAGTTACACCAACAAGATAAAACCGTGAGCCCATTAGGTCAAATTGGATAATATATCGATAGTTAAGAGTTTGGGCCGTTACAAATGATATTAGAGCAATACGCCAGTCGGAAGATGGGAACTAAGTGTCATACAAGAGAAAGTGCTACATCATGGGAGCCACCTCTTGAACCCTGTATGGGACAAAGTGCTACATGGAGGGAGTTGCCACTTGAACTTGTAAGGGTCATCTCTAGAATCTTATATGTCTTGTGGATGATTCAGGGATAAGTACTGATGAAGACGTCAGTTACTTAAGTGGGGGAAATTGTGAAACCCATTAAGTAAAAGAAGCTAAACTTTTAAATATCGAGGCATCTTTTGGTATAATGATTGAAATTTTATTAAGAAACTCTGTAGTATAGCATGTTTATCTTGGAGAAATCCTGGGATGAGTGACATTCTGGGAAATTACACCAACATGTCAAAACCATGAGATTCTTACGCCAAAGCGGACAATGTCTTGATAGTTAAGAGTTTTGGCTATTACAAAATGACCATCAAAAGATGACCTAGGGGATGTTCAAGTAAACAATATGCTAAGAATTCTATCATATGGGATATATAGAAGATCGGTAGAAAAATTGACACAATTTGAGACAATGATAAGAGCAGCATGCGCAAGAGTACAACATGAAAATGCAACGTCCGACAATCACTTTGGGAGTAAATCTTGGGGAAGTAAAAAAAGTTGATATTCACATTTTACAAATGAACAAATCTTGTTTCCGATCACTGATCTCAGTCACGCATATGATGGCAATGATCATAAAGTGAATGAATAAAGCCAAGAAAGAGATGGCATCAAAATCATTCAAGGAAGAAAACATCTTCTCAAAGAACTAAAAAAGGAGAAAAGATAGGCAATGCTCTTAATATTGCTTCCACCTCCAAGTCAAATGTTACAGGAAAGTTCTACGTTAAATGCTAGATACCTGGTCATAGAAAAAAGAAGAGAAAGGTCTTGACTCTTATGAAGGATTAAAATGATCCCAGTTATATTAAATGATTATTTTGATCCCTCTAATTTTTAAACATGAATCAAAATAATCCCACTTTATGTTTCGACTGTTGAAAGTCTGCTTCAAAATGATGATTTAATCCTAAAACTAGAATAATCTGACCAGAAACAAGCTGGCTTCCAGTTATAAAAAGAATGTGGCTTTTGCAAAACCTAACTGGAGATAATATTTACGCAATAAACAGCACAAACGGAAATGATTGAAAGTAAAAAAATCTCCCTAATATAATATTAAACTTGTATTTGGTTGCTGTTGAAATACCAATAATATGTACCATCAAACAAGTATTATAGAATTGGTAAAAAAGCACAGCAACAATATGATTTTTGTTGCAAATCCAGTGTAAACATTTCCAAGGGCTGGCGTAGACTAAAGCTTACGGCAATTTTACACCATGTTCTATTCCAGTTTATCGTACAAAGATGGATCACAAATAACAATATTGGCTTTGAAAGAGAGTAAGTTTCCCCAGACAAAAAGCAACAACATGAAATCTTCAAAGGGTTCTAGGGAATATTGATTTATGATTAATGAATACCTCAGGATGCCACTGGAAACAAGTAATCGGGTAATTATAGGCCTGTGCAGTTGAAACGTACACCTAGAAAAAAAGAGAAATATCATGAAAAAAATACCTCAGATATGAAAAAGGGCAAAAGAAACCGTAGAAAAAAGAATAAAAAAAGCCAATAGATAAGAATGTATTCAATCACCATCATACCTCATCATTTTCATCTGTGCTGGTTGTCAATATCTTAAAGAAACTTGAGAGTGCGTCATTCGCTAGCAACCTTCTTGGTGAAAGGCCTTCCTTTTTATCAAATTTTGTTAAGACATCAAGTAAGCGATGTTAGATTATAGGTAAAAAGAGTAGCTACTTGTATACTAAAAAAATGTTGATCGCAGTGCACATTAAGTTGCATTTGCATTTTTATGTATATGAATCACAAAAAAATATCGGAGAAGAAAACTACTTAAAAAGGAAACGAAGCAGACATTGAATTATAAAAATCTAAATAGAAATCTCATTACTTAATATTGCGCCTTTAGAAAACGTACTCTATGGTTTTGCATCACAATGCACTCGGCGCTTAACTTCCTGAGTAATTCTGATGGAAACCTACATCACAACAGGACGTAATTTGAGTAAAACTAAATATAAAAAAGAGCATTCTTTTCAGGTTAGAATGAACAACAAAAAAGATAATAAAATACTAAAAAAGCAGTAAATTATTTTCAAGCTGGAATGCAATACAAAGAAGATAGTATGTATGCAACACGCACACACAGAAAGTCAGGGTATGAAGGTGCAGATGCTCATTTTGGATAACACACTTGAGGAGAGCTCTGCTTGGGGCCTAGTTGATATAGAAGGCAAGTTGATACACACTAAGGGGCTATTTGGCAAAAGTAGGATGTAACTTTAGTAGAATTTAGTAAATCCTATAAATCCGAATTTATTAAATCTTGAAAACTGTTTGACAAAATAAATGTTAAATCCAGTTAAATCCTATACAACCTTTTGACAATATAATCCAAGATTTAAGGCAGATATTACATTAAAAAAATTAATTTAATTCATGTTTTAATTTTAATTTGCATTTTAAGTACAAATTACTTATTAATTATAACTTTAATTATTATCATTAAATTATAATTAGAAAATAATTTAATTATGAAATAACTTATTAATTTTCAACTTTGATTATATTTTAAATTATTTATGAGTTAATTATTAATTTTAATTTTAATCATCATTGCTAACTAATCATTATAAATAATACAATTAGAATTTAAGCTAATTAACAATGAATCTTTTCTTGGAATATTATCAATTAATTTAAGTCATTAATTATTTATTAATTTATGTTCTGAATTAAATTTAATTAATATAGTTAAACAAAATTAATTTATTACTAACAGTACATGTTCATCGCTACCTTTTTGTAGCCCCAGGTTTGTTAGGGTTGTTTTTCCTCCTCCTATTATTCGTTGCTATTCGACTTCGCTTGCTTAGCATGAGAGATAGTTTTGAGCGCATCACTAAATAACTTCTTCACCTCCTTCGATAACGTTCCTTCCTGTCAGATCTGAAGTCACACCTCCTTGCCGCTCTTCTGTTAGATCAAAAGGAAAAAAGACGACGGTAGCTTGCTGATAGGAAATACTTGAGTTCGCAGGTAACCCTAAGGTAATACTTGAGTTCGCAAGCAATCCTAACCAAAATCGGTAAGCAAACAACAGAGAAACTGCTGTTTGTATCAGGAAAACAGCAAAGTTCTGCTGTTGACAGCAGGAAATCAGCACAGTTTAGGAAAATCTGAGAGAAAAAACGTAAGTAGAAACTTGTATTCCACTAGGAGAAGAAGAAAAACAACAAAGATACAAGTGTTTTCAATTCGAGAGGAAGAACGTACTCTCCACAATTTCCGGCAATGCCAAGAGCCCACATACAAACCCTAGATCTCAAATGAAAATTCAAATTCAAGATCCCCCTCTAATTCTCTCATTACTCCCTAATTAAAGCAAAAGGAAAAATACAAAATACCTAAACAACCTTCTCATTCAAAAATTCCCTCCAACGAAACGCTCAAACTCGCCTGGACCCGCTCTTTCTTCTGTCATTTCTGCGGTGTGGTTCCGCCCGGCTTCGGACCGCCGGGTGTAGAACTGGACCGGTCCAGCTGGGACAGGTCCAAGCGTAACACTTGCTCGATGCAAAGGTAGCGATCTTTCTTCCTTTCGTGCACTTCTTCAGCCAAATCTCGTAAATCCGACGAACTCCAGAATTTAGTAAATCCGGGATTTATGACAAAAAAGAGGGAAACGGAGGATTTAACTTGTTGTGAGATTTAACAATTCCCTAAATCCTGTTTGGCAGGATTTAGCTTAAATCCTGCTGAAATCTAGGATAAATCATGCATCCAAACAACCCCTAAAGGCCCATTGAGGGCAAGTTTTTTACCGCTTTTCTTTTCATATTGCCACCACACCATTATTCAATTACTGCTTTCTTATTTCTTTTCTAAATTTTCTATTGTGAGAAGCAACTTTTTATGACCAAATCTGTTAGAAGGTAATAGTTGTAAAAATCGTCATCCAGCTTTATCAAAAGAGAAAATTTTATAATACTTGACATATCATCAAAAATTATCTTGCTTTGTTGGGCCCCACAAGAGGGGCCGAAATCTCCCTGGATTTGGTTTTCATTTTCCGCCCCCTCCACTATTGGTCTAGCCTCCCTTGGCCTACAGCTATAACAATACTTCCCCCCCAAAGATGCACCTTATACTCAAGGTGGAAGGATGGGATGTTGTTCATGACTTTCTTCAGCTGCTCAGTTAGTCACCATGCTATTGTCCACTGGAACCAATCTAAAGCTTTCCTCTCCATCCCCCAAATTTGCCTGTTTTTTCTTAATAATTTCTCTCTCCTATCTGAATTCAAATAGGAGATCTTTCTCTACTTAATTCCCTCCTTAATTATCCTCCTAACATAATGAATTATTGTTTTGATGGGCCTCACAAGAGGGGCCGAAATGTCCCTCATTTGGTTTCACATTCTACCCCCTCCACTGTCGCTCTAGCCTCCTTTGGCGTGCAGCCGTGACACAACCTTACCAATCCGTACTTTTTTAAAGCATGTGCTTTCATGTACTTTGAACAATGTTTTAAATCAAATTGAATAAAAAAATTGGTCATTTTGATTAGATAATACATTTATAACAATAAAAGGCACACCCCTATCCAAAATCTCAATGAAAGATAGTTTAAATATCTTCATAGGTCAATACATTTAACAAAGTAAGCAAAGTTGCTGTTGATGCTTTATTTCTTCCTATTCATTTTGGGCCCAAATGCCCATAAATAGAATCACCTGGTGTGCAAGCTGTAGGTGGAAATGAAAGCATGGCTTTCAAGTAAAACATGGGCCTCATTTAACCAAGAGATTTGGCCAAATGGATCACCTGTTAATTTCCCAGTATTCCCCGCATGGTGCTAGGACTGGAAAAAACGAAGTTATCCTTCTTTCAGGATTAAATTAAGAAATTTAAGGGAAAAAAGAAGAGAATCAGATGGTGTACCTTTCAAAAACAGATCCTTGAATTTCTGAGATGTCTACAAATTGAAGAGTAGACGCTTGATTTCGTGCCATAAAATGTTCGCATATATCATGGTCCTACTTAAGTAAACAAACAGATCATTGCCAGAAATCGTTAAGTAACAAAGTAGATAAACATAGTAAACAGCAAGCATATTAATCTATGTTTTTATTTATTTTTTTTAAAAGGATTAAAAAAATTAAGAAGATATCCAAAGGTAGAATGGACAAAATAATATAAAAGCTACAACTATACTTTCTCACTTAAAATGGCTTGAGAAATGGAAAATGCATAGTGGGTCGAACTTTTCCTCCAAAAAACAGAGACATACTAGCGGTGCTTTAGTTTTCCCTTGCTTACGAAGCTTTGCTTCTCTTCTGCTCTAAGAATGTTGGAAATATTTTTGAAAACAGAAATTTTAATATGTAAATAAGAACAAGAAAACTATACCTTGCATTGTCAAGAAATTTTTTTGGAAAATACGTAATCCACTGAAATCATAGTCTCATAAATTAAAAAAAAAAAAAAACAAGAAATGCATGTTTGAAAAGACTATATTTGTTGGGGAAGTAAAACGCGCAATGAAAAAAAACAAGAAATGAAAAATTCCAGCAAAAATAAAGAATACCAGGATTTACCATTGAAAGCACAATGAACTCATGTCTGATCTCATTCAAAGCACAATACTCATTGAACTTCTTATCACGATACTCGCCACTATTATCTAATCCGAGACATTTTAGCTTTAAACTTATTTCATTCTCAACCATGGCCATCCACTTCTTGGCAGCATCAAATACAGCTGACTTGTGTTTTAAGAAGTACACCCATACCTTTCTATTATGATCATCAAAAAAAGTGACAAAATAAAAAGAACCTCTTATACAAGAATTTGGAGCAAGACCTCATACATCAGTATGTACTAACTCCAACTTTTTTGACTTCACCTTTAAACTAGTTTTTGAAAAACTCATCATTTGTTGCTTGTCATATACACAGTCTTCATAAAAATCTAATCTTATAGATTTTAAACCAGGAAGTTTTCCTCTAGTAAGAAGTGAATGCATATATTTCTTACTACTACAATAGATGCCAAAAACCACCATTAACATATGAATCAACTACTACAATAGAATTTGATCTTTTGTTGATAACATACAAAGTGTCTTCAATACTGCCATGAGCTATAACCATAGTGCATTTTTTCACATTCACGAATCTCCTATAAATGATATCACATGACAGAAGTTTACAAGCTAACTCACAGAAACTAAATTCCTCTTCAGACAAGGAAAATGTCAACATCCTTGAGTCTCCAAGTTGACCCATCTGGCATTCTGATATCAACATCTCTCTATTCTATAATGACACAGAGATTGTTGTCTCCTAGGTACACTTTGCCCATATCACCCTAAGTGTAGTTCTTGAATGTCTCTTTGTTAGGACTTGCATGAAATGAAGAACTCGAATCTATAACTCAAGATTCAAAGTAATCCAAAGACAAAATTAGATAATTTGATTGACACTCTTATGCATATACATTTGTAGAGTGATTTTTATCTTGACCTCCACAGCTAGCCTTCTTTGAAACATCTTTTTCTTAGGATCTTCAGGGATAATATCATCGTTGATAATTATTTCTTTTTCCTTATCTCTATTAGAGACCCCTTTCTTCGGTGGAGGCGCCGTAATGGATACGAGGTTAGTCTGATTTTTTTGTTTCCTTTGTGCTTTATACAGAGGTCAACAAAACAATATAGTCCTTCTTCAAGCAACCCTTCTTTCCACAGTTCCAACACACAACTTTCACTCTACCTGAAGTAAACTTTCCTCTCTTGGATTTAGATGTTCATCTACTTAGATTTCTATCTAGATCCCTTCCTATGACTTCAACATTCAGAGCATAATTTGAATATTCATCGTTCACCTTCCTGTAAACCTCTTCATTAAGTGGCAATGAAGATAATAGTAACAACACTCTCACCTCATCATCAAACCTGATGCCAACTAAACACAACTGACTCAGTGTTCAAATTATTCAGCTGCTCTGCCATTGAAGTGTTGCCCAACATTTTCATATTGAATAACTTCTTCACCAAGAACACTTTGTTTGAGGCTGACGGCTTCTCTTGCATCCTAGTCAGTGCAACCATGGTATCGACTATAATATTCTCATTTACAATATTGAATGCAACATATGAGAAAAGTGATAGTCGAATCAAACCTACGGTTGTCCGGTCAAGAACCTCCCACCCTCCATAGTCATTGAATCTAACTTCTTGATAATTCCTGTCAACAGTAAATACAACTTCTACTAATATAGCAAATCTTCAATTTGCATCTTCCAAAATGCAAAGTTCGAACCGCTGAACTTCTCAAACTTATGTCTTGCTTCGTCAACCATTACTTCTTGAATATCGCTTGAAGAAGAAAACCTTCCCTCCATGAGGGACGCATCACCATCGTTGCTCTCAATATGGCTTTTGAGGCCGTTTCTAACTTCCACCATGAAATAACCGGTTGTAAATTTTGCCTAAATTTAATGCCTTAAGATATTCAGCAACTGTCCAACGAGATACTGCATTTTCTCTAGTTCTCAAGCCTATAATGCGTATGAGGATTCAAAGTTATCTCGGCTACAAAGGCAAATTTTATAGAAAGTTCGTCTTTGAGCATCAATTTTTTCTTCTTGAACATCCTCATTCTAATCTAAAATAAACTAAGATCAAAGAACTGCAGATTCCAAGCTCAAACACCACATAGTACTTTGAACCCCTGAATTCAAAGTTTTCAAAAAAATGTAATGCTATTGGCATAAAATGATAACTCCGCTGTAAACACGGGGAAATGGATACCAAAAAAATATATCCCAATCAGATACACAAAGGCAAATTAGATCTAACCAAAACATCGCCCTATCCCACAACAAAAGAGAGTGTGTTTCCTTCAGCAGAAACAAGAGAGCTTTTCAAAATCTATGAATGAAATTTTATCCTTCCAAGATGACAAGCAGGCCTATTCATAAAATAATATCAATCTCATATCAACCTCACCCTATCTATGTCAGAAACCTATTTATCCTTAATAACCAAAATGAAACACCAACCATTTAATTGAGTGGCATCGCCTTCAATCTTTAAAGTGGAACAATTTAGAATAGAAATGCTTGAAACATGGAACTAATCAAATTCAAACTATATCAAATTGTTATTTTGTTAACTTTAATTGAGTGCCAAGTTTACTACGATTTTCTAAACAAAGTATGTAAACCATGGGAATAAAAGAAGTGCAATTCCATTTAATATAAACAGAGCTTGGGTGCCCAAAGGGATAAAACAGTGCATTATTTCTCAATGATCTGCATAAACATTAAACTACGTTCCAGTGCTCTCTCTTTTATCCGCAAGGGGTGGGTACCTCTATTATAATAAGTCAACTTCCTTGGCTTATGTATGTATGTAAATATATATATATATATATATATAACACATACAATCACAGGACAAACATTAAGAAAGATGTAACTGAACAATTACAAGAAAAAAGTTGAGCAAAGATACGCTAGACTTGAAGATAAGTATAAAGCCAAATGATACTTAATCCAATATAAATATGAATGTTGTTATTTTCATGGCTGAAATATATGCTTACCTGACTGATAATCATGCTGAGTAGTTCAAATCCTAAACAGATAGCAAATAAAGGAAAATGGTCCCCAGCATCATTTCTTGCTAAAGTAAACTGGACAGTCAGAGAGAAAAAGAAGATTACAATTGATGTATTTTTTAATAAAATCATAATATTATATTTAGATGATGACAAATACAAAAGTAGCAATTATTCTTCTCGCCATTTATTTGATGAGTACAAATCATGCAAACGGTTATCTAAAGAATTATGAAGCGTTTGATGTAGGCGCCCGGGGGGGGTCTCAAAACAAGTTGAGATTTATTTTTTGTAAGCTGCTACTAGATGTCAGCTCATTAATATCTAGTAGAGTGTCTTAAGCTCATAAATTGTAATAATTAATTAGATTCATTCCCTCCCCCTTGTAGCTCTTAGGTTTCTTCCCTTGGCTGCCTTCGTCTCTTCCCCTTCTTGTGTCTCCTTGGTTTCTCCTTGTGTTGTCCCGTTAATTGATGCTAGGTGCTGGTTGCCTTTTCGGTTTTCCCCCTGGCTGCTTTCCCGTGAATTCCCCTTCCCGGTTCCTGTGTTGCCTGCTCGGTTTGCTCCCTGGCTTCCTTCCCGTGGCTTCTCCTTCCAGGTTTCTGTGTTGTCTCTTCGGGTAAGTTACATATTCGCAATTGCAAGATCATCTATTACTATCAAATCAAGAAAAATCTTTCCTGCTATCTCCTATTCCATAAAAATCATGAATATTCTCAAGCCCAATCCACTATAACTCAATGATTATTTAATATACCAATAATAATTATCCTTTCTTCATATATATATATATATGTGTGTGTGTGTGTGTGTGTAATAGTTCAATAACCTCTTGCAAAGTTAATTTTTTACACTTTATTGCAATCAAAATTGAGAAGAATAAACACTTATTATGTCTATGTCCACACTAATAGTTAACTTCATAGAAATCAATCATTAACTTTATTTACTTCAATAATTTTATCATTACACTCCCCATCCACTATTACCCTTCTCCATTCACATTATTAACCTTCCTAGCATAGGATAGCTTATAAACATAACTAATGCCTCTTGACTTTCCACTTTCTATTCGAGTTCTTGTAAAGATGTGACATATATTTGTTTTTATTAGCATTGTCTACAAATTTTATATAGAAAATATAAGTTTAGTTTTAGGCCTGGTAACAAAGTGATCAATCTTTCTCTACAATTGGTAACCAATGAAATCACTCGTAAGAAACATACTACCCAACTTTACCTATTTCTCATCATAATCAAATGAAGTTGTGAAGAGTCACTTATCTAGTGACAACCTGGAAAATTCTTACCCACCTCTATTAAAAATTGGTTAGGTTGTACTACCTCTTTTGAGATAGAAATTATTCCTTGCGGAGTCTGGACGGAAAGTTCTCATCTGGATTGTGAGTGTACACCTGTGTGCAATGTGTATAATTTTTTTTACACAGTTTGGTTCAAACTGTGTGCACACTGTTTGTACACTGACAGTGTGTTCACTCAAAGTCCGAATGGAAACTTCCCGTCCGGACTCTGCACGGAATAATTTCTCCTTTTGAGAATGCCTAGCACTAAGAAAAAAACATCTAATTCGGATCAAATACATAAAATTTGCACAGATATTTCAATTCTATGTGAGCCTAATATCAATCCTTTCAGCCGCGATGCCAGTAGTTTTCTTAACAAGATGATGCAGAAATAATTAAATACTATGGGCATCTTCATTGCTTAACTCTCTAACATGCAAGTATTATGCTGCATAAGAAAGCAAATGAAGCATGCCAGCATATGATTTTTTCTTAATACAGACCATTACAAAGTGTCAAGTACTAGCACAACAAAATTGTGCGAAGAGCGTTGACAGCATATGAGCATGATTATTAGAGCAAACTATAAATGATCAAGACATTCCAGAAAATACTCTTCAAAAAGGACTTATTTCATTCTTGGACAATTATCAAAAGAAAATGTTTCGATAAATTACCTCATAAACTTTCTTGATAGTCTCAAAGTACAAGCCCTCTTTAGCCCACCCACCTGTAAACAGAACGCCATTCACTAGCTCGAGTTTCTACAGCAAATATGCAAGTAAGACAAATTATTCAACATCAATCAAATAATGCCAGAAAATACATCATATGATCGTACACGAGCTCAATTATGAAACAAACTTCTAATTGAAATTTGAACTAATCAGATGAAGAAATCGAATCGTGCGTGCAAGGGAAGAGAGGAGAGAGAGGGGGGAGATGCTCACTTCGGAGATGACATCCCAAGGCTCGTTGTAAATGACAGGAATGACCCGAGCCCCAGCCGACTCGACAAACTTGACGTAGGAGGCCGGGATGTTGGAGGTGTCGGTCAAGTTACTGAGCCTCCCGCTGGCGCCATCTCCAGGGTGACTGACGATACCGATCACCGGCTGGTAATAAAGTGCGGGATCCGCCGAAGGGCAGCTTTCTCCAGAAATAAAATCATGGAGGAGCTCCTCTGCCCATTCCTCTCTTGGTAAAAGAGTGTATTTGCGTGCAGCGGCCGCGGTGGAGACAGAGAAGGCAACGAGCAGAGACACACAGAGAAACCTCAACATTGCCGGCCTGTAAAGGAGAAAGAACCGAGGCGCGAGTTCTTCTTCACCTCAAATTTGCATTCTAATCGGAAAACAATAAAAGCTTTTTCACTTTTTCAACAAGCTTCAAATTCTGCCACGGTGCCACTGCCACCCAGACGCTCTGGTAATTTATATAAGTGAAATTTACATAAATACCACTTTATATCATCCTATTTACATATTTAACACTCAAAATTTTAATATTACATACATATCATCCTATATTATTTTAATATCAAATATACCACTTCTATTTCCTTCCTATCACTCATATATTTTATTTTTACTACTCATATTTAATATGAAAATGAAATATGGGTGGTATATAATAAATCTCCCTTTATAAAAACAAGGTGATATATAAATATAATTCAGCTACGCCTAGTGCTATCTGATTTCAAATAAAAATAAAAATAAAGTAAAAAAATTACATAATATTATTTAAAACTATTGGAATTTATCATCTAATTTAATTTTGATATTTTAAAAAAATTAATTTGATTTATTTTTTAAAAATACTATAACTTTTCTTTAATTGTAATTGTAGGCCTTCGGCTAGCCATGTGATTGTCAATGACCTCATCCCACCTCCAAATATCTGGACCACCACATAACAATAGTAGCCTTCATCTACATGTGTCATTGTTCGTTTGCCGCTAAATAGGGGTGTCAATATTTGATCCGACCCGAAAACTCGAATCGAAAATTTCGGGTTCGGGTTGACCCGAACCCGAACCAGATCGGGTTCGGGTTAGGGATTTCGACCTGTTTGTAAAATCGGGTCGGGTTCGGGTTGACCCGGAAACCCGAAATCAACCTGGTTTGACCCTTTTTTAATTAATTTAAGAGAGTTTTAATGGATTTTTATGAAATAAGTAAATGATATTTCAAAAAATTATAAATATTATTGCCCAAATTAAATTAATCTTGATTTATTTTAAATTAATTGAAGTAAATCTTATCTTAAATTGATTTAGATTTAAATAAATTGAATTAAATAAAAAAATTTAATAAAATACCCGAATCGGGTCGGGTTCGAGTTGACCTGAACCCGAAGTGGGTCGGGTTCGGGTTCGAAAAACAGACCTGTTTGCAAAAATGGGTCGGGTTCGGGTCGGGTTGACAGTGTCGGGTCAATTTCGGATTGTACCTGAACCCGACCCATGACCCGATTTTTATAGCCCTACTGCAAAACACAGGTATCGACAGTTGTTCATTGCCATCACCGCTCACAGTCAGCCCCATTCTCTTAAGTTGTAGGCCTTCGCTGGGCTCTCTTAATTGATTATTTATTTTGTGCGGATGTCGAATGTTGTCCGGAGTCCAACTAGAATGTGTCATGTCACTCATTCGCTCATCGTTTTTAGACTTTAAACTACATTCATTTTACTTCAACTCAAACAAACAAAAAATCATTTGTATTTATTTTACACACATCCAAATAAATCCAAAATATTTTAATTATATTGCAATCTTGAATTCCATTTTATTCTGCATTCGTTTTTCAACAAATGAAATGGCCCCTTATTATAAAAAAAAATTATATTAAAAAATAAAATGAAATAATTAAATTAAGTCAAAAATATGTGTAGTAATAATTTTCAATTCTTGTGCAAGTTTAAGTTGTTGCGTCTGATATAAGGCGAGGCTTCATTTTATTCACAAACTCAAAATGCATGCCAATTCAAAATAAATAAATGGATAACAAGCATGGCCTGAATTTAACTAATACTGAAAACTAAATATCATGACAACTTCAAATGAATCAAACTGAAGCGATTTAGGCTTCGTTTGAGATGATTTTTTTATTGGTTCTTAAAAAAAGTTTTTTAATACAATAATTTTTTAGATTAAAAATTTTTGTACTAGAAAATGATTTTAGAAATCAATACGAAAGCGGTCCCAAACGAAGCATTAGACTTCGTTTGGAACAGCTTTTGTACTATTTTATAAAGCAGATTATTAGTGCATAAATTTTTTAAAAAGAAAATTGTGTTAAAAAATTATTTTAAAAAATAGTAAAAAAATTATCCCAAACCAAATCATAATGTGCATGAAGAATAGTTCAAACTTTTGAAATATGCCAGCAAAGAAAAATGATTGAATAGTTTAAGTTATATTAACATCATTTTCCTTATTAATGGGCCCCAAAGGAAACTTAAACATGTAAGCATAAAATGAATAAATACTCATTCTTGTGTATTAAAGTTCAAATAATATAAAAAAATAAAGAATATTACATTTATAATTGTGTCAAATGCTCTTTGAAGATCTTTTTGTTTGGCTTGAAGTAAATTGAATGCATTGTAAATCAAAGTTCAAATAATATAAAAAATAAAGAAATATTACATTTTTACTTTTTTTTTATTTGGCTTGAAGTAAATTGAATGCATTATAAATCAAAGTTCAAAATAGCAATGGTCTGTGGCGGTTGACAATGGCCAGGTGGCCAACGGCGAGTGGCAGGCGGCAACTACCAGAGTTTGGGGCCGACGAGGTGGAGGGCGGTGGTAAGTTTTTGGCGAACTAGAAGAATTCCAAATACACCGGATTAAAACTATAAAGTGAATTGCTTTTACTTCAAAAATTTACTTTGTATTTCTTTTACTTCAAATCAAATACCAATATGTTTCACGCATTTAAAATGTCCCTTTGACATCAAATCAAACAGCCCCATATTGTGGTCGATATCCTAGGTTGTGAACTTAGCATATAATGCCAATTTGCATCAATCATGCACACCAAAGAGTAAAAAATGTCACAAAAACTTTGGAGAGAGCAACCGTAGGATGGCAGCAAAGCAAATAAGACTACCACCCGGTCCTGCTGAGATCAAAGCAATAAACAAAATTAGAGCAAATCATGATATATAACATCTATCTCTGATTCGAGCTATCAAATTTTTTTCACTGAACTTGGTCAAAGAGTGAAAGAATGTTCGAATAAACATGGGAATGTGAATAATTTAGTCCCCTTTATGACAAAGGAGAGTGAACATGTGGTAGGAGATGATGGAGAATTCCTTCCATGCATACTAGCTCACTAGCACCAAAATAGTTGGTGAAAACAATGACATGCAATCTTTCGCACCTAATGCACTATTAACGGGATGATTTGTTGTTGGATCTAATTTTATTTGGTGGAGTGATGTTGGGTCGTACTTTTCACCAATTGTAGGTTTAGGAGCCCTTGAGGAGAATGTAATGAAATTCAAATACATAGAGATAATAGAGGGGAACTTAGATGAAATCTTTATCATCCAAGCCCGAAATACATAAGGAGTAGAAGTATGAGCTCTATACTATGGAGCTTGAGCTTTGTAAGAGAAATGTACTATACATTAAGAATTGCGTATATTTCTTTTCCTTTTTTAATTGTGCTCTTCATGTTCTCTCCTATGGTTGCAAGAGAGTTTACGGAGTTTTGGAAGAAGAGAGAGGAGGATCATGGAGTCTCGGTCTCTTCGAGTCTCAGAATATTTTCTCCTTCATCCTCCCCCTTTTATAGAGTTCAGAAGGATGTAGGAGTTATTGTTTGCTACGTAGTTGTCCCATCATCTACTAGTAATAGTTTGTCTGATGCTGAACTAGTCGGCGTCTGGAGGAGATGAGTTGGATAAGATTAGGTGAAAATCAGTAGTCACCCCCGTCGAGGTGGAATAGGACGAGTGTTACCCGACTGTTATTGATAAAAATCAACGTGACGGTTTTAGTCGCCTCATTGAAGAGGAAGGGCGAGTAGTGGAGTACTATCTAAATGTGATCTTTGGATTGCTATGAGATGGAAATCTCTAAGAGGGATAATGTGTATCATAGGCTCTTTATTGTGTTGAGCATAATATTCCTCATCCTGACTTAGATGAACAAAGATTTGTTTGGCTAAGAGAGAAACTACCGAGGTTGTCTTCCCATATGGTTGACGGCTGCCTGGAGGATATGATCGGTCCCAGTTCGTTGTGCTCTAGTTTTAATCTTTTTCTAGCTACTGAGCAAGTCCCTCCGATTTGTTTCAAAAGTGGAGTGTGTCCTCCTATCCTCCTATTGCTCGACCCAAACATAACATATAAGACACGTGAATAATTACCTGCACATGTATCCATGGGTACACAATTGTGATATTGGATTCATAGTGGGTGAATAGAAAATTTAATTTCCGACAAGGTTGTCATGACCAATAAAAAATATTTCTAAACAAAATTAGATAGACCTAGTAAAGTGGGGTCAAAATATTTTTAAGAATTAAAGAGCATAGTAATTAATGGTATGAAAATCAATATATGTGGATTATTTAAAAAATATATATTGAAAATTTTGCTATTTTTTTTTTAACATATTTACATAGATACCACACAATTCTTATATATATTTACATATCTAATACATAAATTTTTATATTTATTTACATAATATCATAATCTCTGAATCATATAAAAACAAATACAAACATTAACTTCTTTAAAGTGAAATATATCTTTTAGCCTATAATTAATGTGATTTAAAAATATTAAAATTTAGACATTATATCTAAAATTTTAAGAATTCTACGGTATGAAAATCCCCCAAACCTCTATCATGAACAAAATTTTAATTGAGATGGATTCTTTTTTGCTGTAAATATTTAAATATTTTCCAATACATCAAATTTTAATTTGTTAAATAAAATGTCTTTGATTATAAACTTATAAACAGATAATCATCCTATAGTTTAATAAAAAGTAATATTCATATTTTTTATTGATGCATTTTATTTTACTTTGATAAAAATAAAAAATCGAGCAAATTGTTTTGGAAAGTAAAACAATTCTCGTAAATGATGAACAGTAATTCTTATCTCCGTAAATTTCGCCCAAAAATCGTATTTTTCAAAATTGGAATAAAAACGAACATATTTTTCATAACTTAATTAACTTCTCTCTACTCCGAAGCAATAAATCAGGATTGCCTCTCTACGCTCCATCGTTCCTTATCTGCAATCCCCCGCTTCCAACAATATAAATCTGCTATTCTCCACTGAAATTTCCCCCAAAACCCTAGCCCCTTTCACTGAAGCGAAGGAGAAGAGCAAGATGAAGCAGGAAAGTACACAGAACAAAATCAAGGCAACGCCAGAGAAGA